GTTTCAGATGCACTTTTCCCTATTTGAAAGGTACGGTCTACGCAGAAGACTACTCAAAAATCTTCTGGACCAGCCTGAGGACACTGAACTAGATCGAAATACAACTGGAATTAGCACTGACAAGATAACTCTGCTATAAAATCGAGACGCTGTAATTTTGTTAGGTTGGTACCAGCTTAAGGAATCAGCTCATTGGGCCATATCTTTATGCATATACAATCTCACAATCCCTTGGTCAAAATATACTAGTGCAATATAATTAATTTCAGAGTACAAATAGTGGCCAATGACTCGTAATTGTCTCATTCAGAGCTCCCTTCAGTTCCATCTATAGCTAAGTGCCTGAAAATTGCAAGAATTTGGAGCCGAAAGTGGTTGCTTAATGTCATTTTCGACTTACCTAGCAGGCAATTACACCATTATCAACATGGGAATCGTATTTACTTCAAGCCATAGTCAAAGGTTCGTCAAAAATAATGTTGGCACAAGCACAATTCCCTACACTATTAAAACTAATAGTCAATGCTACAAGTTAAACAACCAATTGCCTACAAGCCCTGCGATTGGTGCAGGAGAGATGCAGCTGTTATGATAACCGCAGATGTCACGCAGAGTTGCGTCATTTTCCCGGTTTGTAGGTCAGCAGTCGACGATGTCACGGTCCTTGGAGACCGTCATTTTCCCATCTCTCCAGTACTCGTACTACCGGCGATTACGTTCTTTTACATCCACTGGAGCACTACCAGTTATTTCCATTTGACAAGCGGTAAATTGCAGTACCAGTTTCACGGGAATGGGGCCAAATAGTCATCTTGTTGAAGAAACAGCTTACTGAAGTGGCAGAGTAGAGTGTGGCTGGCTTATTTACCTCTGTTTATTATCTTGTTGCTGTAAATACAACAATTTGGTACATTTAGAGCAGTCAAACGACCTAACCTTTTTGCAAAACATACATGAGATGTGGTTCCGAATTTTCAGTAATCCTGCCAAAGCATTAAGCATATCTGTAGTGATTAGTAAGGATAGTTTACCTCCATTGAGTTTCAAAATGGGTATATTTCAATTTTCATTTATTAAACTTTCAAAGTATCATCTTCTAAAGAGTTTTTCTATGAAGAAATTTTTTAAAATATTGTCTTGTGATTTCATCGTCTTTCGGTCATTTGAACGAGACAACGACTCAATCAAACGCTTGTTGCTATTAGATTGAAATGAAAGAAGGTTGAGTGTATATTTTGTTTTATATTAGTTGTGCGTGGCAGGTAAAATATTTTAACGAAAACTTCTTTAAGTCTTCAAGATACACTAATCTTTTATCCCTTAAGGTTTCTACTTATCTGGAGTTAATTTCAAACAATATTTTCTGGACGTGATCGAGACACTTCTAATTGTAAAGAAGGATCCCCTCCTCGCCGTGGAGCGAACTGATTGTATTTAAGATGGATATGTTGCTTATGTTTGTCCAGTGGAAGTAAAGAATGCACCTATGTATTCAAGTATAATAGCGTCATGTTTCATACATTATTTCTATATCCAGTCCGAGCTTGTTAGATGGGCTACTTGCAAAACATTCATTAGTTCATCCACCCTGACGCACGCTATCGTTCTACACTTTCTGTTTCTCATATCTCTCTTGTGAGGGCAGTTATTAAATTTGTGACGCACTAGAAACCTAGTTATTATGTATGCAGTAATGGTTACAAGCTAATGTAATTAAAATATATATTAATGTCTACCTTCACTCGAAAACTTAAAAAAACTCAATAACATAATACTTATGAATATTGTGTTATCAATTATGTCTTTGGGAAAGTTTCAATGGTCTTAAGAAAATTTCTACGCTAAGTATCCTAATGGATAGGTTTCCTATACATTCCAAGAATTTTTACGGTGACATAACTAAACAATATGTAGGCCATATCTACTTAGTAAACGGATAAATTTTGCTTACATTTCCCTACTCAACATTTATTTCGGTACTGGATTTTAAGCAAAGTAAATGTGGATCGGACTGTAGTGTAATCCTACCTAATGACGGAAACAATGTAGCATTTACAGCGATGGCACGGGGGATATAACGGCGTGAGCCACAGCCAGACGAGGTGAAAGCCGGCACAGAACGTGCAAAACCCGATTCTGCAGAACAACCGAATACTGACTTTCAACTCGAGGCACTCTTGGGGCTTCTCAAAACAGAAAAGATTGTAGCCTCGTTAAACATTAAAAAAGAACTTGATTAACCTTCCAAAGGCAGACAAAAGAGAAGAAATCTTGAACAGAGTTTAGTTTGAGTAATTAAAGTAAGTAATTGAGTAACGGTTGGTTTGAGTATTGCCAAGATACATATTATTACGTATTTTTTGGTTTACAACATTTGAATAGTTGTTATTATCTCAATCATTTTCTAGTAAAGATTAAGTCTTTAACACAAAGTTACATTAAATTCTTAGAAAAGAGAGTTGTCAAATATAAGGAAATTTCTCAAAGCCTAGTTGGTGGTTTTGTTATCTAGTTAGGCCTATGTGTTTAAAAGTTTAAGAGTGGGCTCCAAACCACCAATGCCTACCATGAAATCACTTATAATATCATTTGACTATTGGCAGGATTTGAGCCCGGGAGACCAAAGCAGAAGCCTCAAACTATTCACTAGACAAGCTGCACTTCCCTTATAGTCTATGATTTCCTCTAAGACAGTAAAAGGTTTTGTTGGTTCGAAATCTATTTACCAAGTGAATTTTTTTTTAATTTCTAAAAAAAAATGGTTAAAAACAAATTAAGTTCAAACTAAGTTAATTAAAACAAAACAACTTGCACACTCAGGCAATATATTGTAATGCTATTTTAGTGTTTATTAGTATGTAAAATGTATTACATTTTTGAGGCACTGGAGTGGCTAGGTTATGTTAGCTGGCTAGGTGAAAATCAATCAGCCTACAGTATTAACGATCTGACAATTACAGTTAATGTTAAAAATATCAAATGAATGCCTAGTTGTTTAGCCTATTTTGCATTTGTAATACTAAATAAGTAATAAATAAGTAAATTGTATTCCATCCTTTTAATTCGTATACCACAACAACTACTACCCTACCTGTTTTATACCGCAATTATCAGGAGACTACAACGCACGGTAAAACTGAAGGCGCACTTCGGAAATCTTTCTAGTCTTCACTGTTCTTTTTTTAATCGATACGGGTGTTGTCAAAGTGTTTAGCATATTTGTAATTTCATTCAGAAAATTAATTGAGATTTTAATCTAAAAATGGATTATCATTTGGGTAGCTAAGTAGATGTAGGTTAGATGAAGGTTGTCGATTAGATCTTCATAAAAATCATTATCCTCTTGACAGTTAAACTGGACCCGACTGTCCTTGATCAGTGAGCTTTTACTCAAATATCCTGGCTGAAGGAACAGCTGATCATAGTCAGTAACAAAGCTCACAAGGCATATCCTGCATTCCAATTCATATTAGTTTAACATCATGATTATAAGGTCTTGCTGCTCTAGTTTCAGGTGTTGATTTATGCCAATTTATTCTCAAAAATAATGATGAAATGTTTCGATACAGTAAAAATACACCTGTCCGACTGTATTCCAAAGACATCAATCAGAGTCAAGTTTCAACCGGTTTTGAGCCTTTTGAAACCCAAAACTTGAAGGTTTTTGTGACGAGATCGAAGCAAATGTCTAAGTGGTTTTCACACCATTACATTATTGAGTGATAAAACCTTTTGACAATTATTTTGGTGCTTGTCAAATGTGTTATTATTTTACTGGTGCAATAAGGCATGTCTTAAGACCATAAATGAAAGATAGTTTGAACAGATGGGTAGGAAATACAACAACTTTATCCTCATCGACTTATACCAATAAGAATACAAACCACGAGCGTTTTGAAATAGAACACCTAATATAGTCTACCTGACAAAGAAGATATGTTTGTAAATTCTAAATGGAGACTACCTGAAAGGTAAATGTTGTACAGTTTTTGTTCAGTTCGAGGAACTAAAGACAATAACAACCCTGAGTCTGAGAGGCGAAAGGCGTCGGAAAGGTGAAGGCTAGACGTCAAGGAACTTCACAAGTTGCCTGATGATTTGTGATCTCATTGTTGTACTGTTATGTGAAGAATTTGGAACACAAATAACTTCTGTAATCGTTATTGTATTCATTTGCATTGATAGTTTCAAAGATGTTACAATTTTCTGTTAGATGAACATTGAATAAGACACCTACATCAGAACAAGTAGGATGTATACTAATACTCTCCGACAAATGTTTATGTTGAATTTTACGATCTGAATCTGACTAATAAACCAGAATTGGGTACTGTGTCTACATAAAAGGTCATGAAGAAGAACTTACTATAGATTTATTCATGGAAATAATTTGGCAAGGATTTTTCTTGCCCTATTTATAGTTACTTCTACAGTAGATGAATTATTCTACCTACTTCTTTTGTGATAATTGAAAGCCAAGCTGTCTTAAAACTGCAACGTCGATGAGTAAGTGCGTTGATATTGGAGTTTATACAGGATATTATCATGGTTAATATTGGAAAAGGCAAAGTCTAAAATATTTTTAGCTGCACAGCTTGTCTCACAAGCTTTTCTTTATTGAATGGCTTTAGTTTTGACATGAGAATGTCTACTTCTCAACAGTAGCCTATAAGTAAAATGTACTGTATAAAAAACAAATTTGACCTACAGATAGCAATATTAGATAACCCATATTTTGACCGGGACTTTTTAACCAAACCAATTAAAACTCCCGCCCCTTTACTTTAAAGCCTGTCATCGGTAGAATGACTCAACTCAAGACGAGACTTATATTTTAGAGACCAAAATACAATGACTAGTCTAATGTTCATTTAAACACGTAGGTGACGTGGTGTTCTCCACCACTGGGACCAACACCCTCCTTTGTATCGACGGGGTTGTCGTCAAGGAGGGTGAGTATTGAGCGTATCGCCCCAGAAAGGAATGCGAGGTCGGCTTACCTGTTAGGTTCTATCCAACACACATAGCACAACACACACGACACACGGGCACTCCTTGTAGACTGGCACTGGCACTGGAGAGGAGAGTGGAGACTGCCCTTCCTCCGCGGAATACCTGTCTGACGACTTCGGCGGTCTAGAGACTCCAGGCAACTTGTGAGGTACGGCCCCGCGTCTCTACGACTGTTATTGTTATCCAGGCAAGCATATTTCTTGAAAACCTTTTTTCTCAGCTCATGTGAATCGCAGAGAAAGTTTACGCATACTGTTAGAAAGGTGTTTTCCAGTAGATGTGCAGAATTCCTTTATAAATTAAAATAGGATCAAAAATAAGCACAACAAATGAATTTAGATTTCAAAACTTAACATAGGCCTGGTTGCCATGCTGGTGAAGAAATAACAACGAAATATAAACAGAAAATATCAAAACAAATGGAATAAATTCCAATCACATGTTTTATTTACAGTGTAGGGTGAAAATAGAGAAGTTTGTACGTTACATATTTTTGGTCTAGCTTTTGACCACTGGACGACCTCTAGTCAACTTTATAATGTACAGTGTTATAAAATTTAATAATCCGTATTGGTGCAATACAATACTATTATTGTACAAAAGTACAGTTTACTATAATGTGAATATGTGTTGTTATCGTCAACATAATTGGGGTTTTGTAGTAGTTAGAATATGCTTTATGAAAATTTTTATCTATCAAAACTTAACCAGATTTTATTTGGTTATATGACATTTCTTTTGTTATATATTGGAAAATTTTATTGATCAAATATATCAAGTATTTGGTCAAATTCAAAGTGATATGTTGATGGAACTCGATCCAATACTGAGTAAGAAATTGATTAAGATCAAAACGTATGTCCATCCCTTTCACAGAATTGTACCTCAAATTATATTTTATATATTATAACAAACGTGCATTGGCCACCAAAATCAGAATGCTCTATGTTTAATATTAATGTAGAAAAAACGTGAGTAACGGGAGTGTCTATTGTCTTATTTATTGTACATTGGATATTGAAAGGGGCCATTGAATATATACCCTATATATAGGGTATATATTCAATGAAGGGGCATTGACTATTGATAACTGATACGTTTCATATAAACACGATCCTTCATTTGACCTCTCCCAAATTTCATGTAACCTACTATCTACGTTGAATTTTCCTCTTATATATCTGAGGGATAACTCGTCGTGGTCTTTTAATCAGAGATCCAGAGACTCAACCGAGTATTTATCTAGTGGTAGCTACATCAATAGCTAGATTATTTATAGCTATCAGGGTAATTTGGTCCTGTCCTAGGTAATAAGTTTTCAAAAATTTAAAAGAAATCCCACACAAAGGAACCTAAAAACTTAATCTTAACGCAAATACTTAATCCTAAAAGAAAACGATATTTTGTTGAGCAGAGCGAAGCGAAGCTCCTTAAGATCGATTTTAATGCAAACTTTCAAATCATCATGCAATAAGGGCAACATATTTCAGCCAAACTTACCAAGGGTGATCATACAAATGGTGGGAAGGTTTTTGAAGGCTTGATTCTGCCTGGAACATTTATTTATTCTAAATTACATTAATTGATCATATACAAAATACTTAAACCCAAATCCCAAGCTTGTATCCTATTGAAAATCATGGGTAAATGGGTAAAACCCATTTATGCATGCAATAGGGAATATCAATTAATTTTGTGTATCGTCAATACAATCTATTATTTTTCTAGTCGTACAATCGCCTAGTGCTCTGCGCCGATAGACCGTCGTATAACTGTGCAGCCTCTCTCCTCTCACAAGTCCCAGTTCAGTTCTGCACCAGTCCCATATGTAGGCCAGTACCTGTATCAGTCCCACAGGTTCATTCATACCCCACCGTGTGACCAAGATGTGGGAATATCTAGCTGTCATAATCTACAATCTTTATTTTCCACGCTCCAAGTGCAATCGTCACATTATGTTAGTGGTGCAAAAGCGTTTGCTTTCTTGTTGTGTGTGGAATAGGTTTGACGTTTCATTAATATGATGGAATGTATTTCCCATTCACTTAGAACATTTTTGTGGATTTAGTTGATGTTTAGGTGATGGTTAATTTAAACGAAATGAAGTGCCTACAACAAATACTGTAGTCGTAGTTGCCAACGAGAAAACTTAGACTACTAAACGTTCCAAATATAAGCAATCTGAAGATTACATTCTCAAACAAAGTGACAGAGAATTGATGACATTACAAGGATTCGAAGTCGATAAACAATATAAACATACAATATAACAATATAAGTAGTTTTTTTCAGAGTCAGAGGAATGTTTTCTGCGTAGCCTAAGGATGTTTCACACTCATTAATTTGTTCGTAATGATTTAAACAAACCACATTTTGCTATGAAAGTGTATCAAGGCAATAGACGGGGTACTTAGAAATATTTAATTTCTTAGCTTAAAGCCCTTAAGTAAAGTTATGTCTACATAATTATTAGCTTGAATTTGATTTTTGTCTAAAAATTTATATACTCACCAATTCAAGGTGCTGTACCTGAAAATAGGCTTGTTCAATATTTAGCACATAGTGACAGGCTTGTTACGGTTTCATGACTTGCCAAATATTTATAAATGCTACTTACATTGCAACACTTTTGCATTTAACCAAACCCCCCCAATGACGTCTCACAATTCCACAAAGCCTACTTAACATGCAAAACTAAAGACTCAAATTAACAAATGAAAGCGGCGAGTCCCCCAGTCCATCAATGTCTCTTTACCGCCCGATCTTTATCGTATAATCCCGGCAATTACGTGCGGACGGTGACTAAGCCAGTAATCTGATCGATGGCAGGTGCTTTGTTGGTTTAAGGGAGGGGTTCTGCCCTTACCCCCCCCCCTCTACTGTACACAGCCACTGGACCAAAACAACCGGGCCAAACACTTCAACGGCCCACATGTTACGGCAAACTGCGGGTCTGGGGGGAGAGATGACTTGGTCAACTGTAGACCTATAGTGATACTGTCAACAATTTGGAAAAGTTTGAAGAATACAACATTTTTGATGGCGTTGTAGGAGACCAAGTAACAAGTTACTACAAACTGCAATAGTCTGGCTGTAAGATAGACTTGACTTTAGTTGGCCTGAAGAGTGGGGATGACTTACAACTGTTAATCGATGTTTTGAAAATGCTTATTGCACCACTGTTGCTAAAGTTGATGCGTAGGAGAAAAGTCGTCAAATTTTATATCACGCAGAGCCATAAGACCATAAATAATTATTAAGCGGTTTCTAGTTAAGGGTATTTTAAATCAAATTTCACCACGATGGCATCCTACCACACAATTTCTTCCAAAACCACATATAATTCAGTTTTAATAACTAAATAATATGCAGCACATTTGTTATCCAAAGTTATTCTAAAAGACATGGCACATGTTAAAATCCCTTGCAGTTTTGTCTGTTGCAGCACATTTCAGAAACTCTTCTAGGCATTTACTGATTGAAATAGAGCGTGAAAACCCATTATGTGCATGTTTATTAGTGATGAAATATACTCAATATATTGACTCAATATATCTGTCCATAGTGTACCATTGCTTAATTCTTATAGACAGTTCACAGTGTAATGCAATATTAGAATAAATTAAACAATGTACCTTTGTTAAAAATGTGTTTACAATTAATTGTTTAATGTACTTATATTGGTTACTCATTAATTAATATGATTGACGCCTAATGATACACTCTTTCTTCAAAATCATAAGACATTAACTGCATAGTGATTAAGTGAAAAAAATATATATAGTAGGAAATTTGTATCTTAAAACTGTTCTAAATTTCTCCTCTTCAACATCCCCTAAACCTTGTTATCAATAGAAGATGATACCCGAATTTACAGAATACTCTTTATATGTTGGGTGTGTTGCCATGTGGTTAGCGTCTCGGACTTCGGTGGCGAAGGAACGGGTTTAATCCCCGGCACATCCACAAAACATTTAATGAGTTTGGACCGCTTTTCCTTAAAATCGTTTGACTTCAACTCCATTAAAAAATGTTACTTTATTGTAGACACGAGCAAAAAAAAAAAAAACACTAGTAGCCTATTTCCTTGACATAAAATTTCAAATGCCCAGGCTGAAAGATAAGCTACGGTGTTTAGAAGCACGATAGAAACTACACGGACAAACGGTGATTGGTTTCAGGTCGTAGGTTGTGCGATGTAGCGTGAAAACGGCGCCGTAAACGGTAAACGGCACCGGGCTGATTTACTTCAAGCTAACCCTTCCATCTGTCACTACAATGGCAATCTTGCACGCCCGATCGGCCGGAAAATAGCGATATCGGCGTCACGGCTAGATTCCGATTTATGTCTCCAAAAGGGTAAAAAGGCGTTGTGTGTTTTACTATTGAAAACAGAATTGTAATATTTTGTTTCGCTCCGAACATCTGTTTGGGGATAAAATTAACGGTCGATAAAAATGTCAATGTTTATTGGTTTTGTAAACAAGTCGGAACTGTAAAAGATCGATACATGGGATTTTTAGATCGGATTGAATTGATGTATTTTGGTATACATATTTTGGTATTGGTGAGAATGTGTATAGCAAACATCAAATGGTGGATAAGAATATCTTGGATATTGTAGGTGGGGTGTGCGTTTACTTTATTCTTCGGTAGTAATATAACTTTTGAAGGTTAAGTAAAAGATTAAAAAAACACATCTTCTATTTGCTCATAATAGTTTTTGAATTTGTAAAACAAAAAAAATCAAATAATAACAAAACATGTACTTCTTGTACATTGGACAGGAATAGCCTTTAACATTTCCACAAGCTGAGCATAAAAATGATAAATTCAAAGACATTGTTTTAAAATCTACGCCACTACTACTACTACTACTCACTTGATTTATACAGACATATTTATGTCAGCCTTCTTATATAAACCCGTACATTATCGTTTCCCGCTTTTGGCGCTTTCTGATTCGGTTTTCTGGTTCTGGTATTGTTTTTCTCACATAATTATCCAACTGAGCGTTATATAACACTTCCTAGCTTCTCTGACACTTTCACGTTCGTAACC